TAATAATTTACTATAAAGACAATTAAATACTGTGCTTCTTCCCCCTTTTAACGTGATTTGCACTAGGTATCTTCACTAATGTAAATTCAGAATAAACACGCAAGATTGAGTCTAAGAATTCTAGAAAGTAATTGTAAAATAAAACTATGAATAGAGAATTAATTTTGAAATATGAAATTCTTCAGTCCTCCCTTTGAGTGAAAGGAGAACTGAAGGAAAGAAGTAATGATTCCTTGCTCTTTGTATTTGAAGATCTGGCTACCGAAAGGGAATATTACACTCGGCACTGAAACACTCTCAGACCTCCGCACCAAACACGCAGTTGTGTGTTCTTGGGCTTTGTCCTTAATGTTTTATTTTTTGTTTTTTTTTCTTTTAACCTTTAAAGTGGGGATGATAATATTTGTTTCAGAAGGTTACTTTAAACTTTAATGAAACAGAAATGATGTTTTTATAAGAAAAAAATACAGGAAGTTTGTTGATATTTGTCAAATAAGTAAAGTATTTCTTTCAGTTGATTTTCTTTTACTGCTACTTTGCATGCATGGACCTGATTATTAGTACATTAAACTTTATAACTTGCATTATAAAAATGAATAAAGTAAGATTTTCTCATTGTTTTTCCATGATGTATTTCTATTAACTGCAAAAATAGTTTTAACTACAGCATCCATTTTATATATTTTTGACCATTATACATGCTACTTAGAATCATCTAACATTAATAGCTAGAAAAAAACTCATCGTGGCAATTTTTTGCCTAAATATAATGGCTATAAACTGGATTTGATAGTACATAAGTTGTCAAAATATATATATATGAACCATTCACAATAATGTCTATAATGGAATTCAAACCATATGTGCTGGGAGAATGTATTCATAAGACATAAAGATATTCAAAACAAGATATCTGCTCTGAATTCCCTGCAAGATTCTGAGATTTCTATTTTCCTCAGAATAAATAAGAGAGCATATCTGTATGTAGTAAGAGCAAAGCTGGTAAGTAAATGTCTTTTTATTTTATTAGGAGCAAGAATCCAGTTAAAATTTGAAAGCTCACATTTTCCCATAATATTTTTTACTGAGGATACTGGTTTGACAAATAGAAGATCACTATTTATTATGCATTCCTGATTTACAAATTATTTAAAAGGCTCCCTAAGTCTCCCACCTGCTCAGTCTCATTTGTCAAAACTGCAATACTGAGAAGGGTAAAAGCTCAGAAAATACCATATCTGCTCTTCAGAGTCTTATATCAAAGTTTCCATCACGGTTTTCCTATCAAAGTTGTTATAAACTTTAGGTACTAGGAGGGGGAAAAGAAATAAACAGAGTAAGGATGGCTTCAATAGCAGTAAAGTGTGTGTTTTGATGTGAAGGAAGAAAACTCACGTTCACTCAGTGCCAACGATTTGCTCAGCATCCATTTGTTACAGCCATTCTGAGGTTGGGGTGTCCTATGTTCCACGTATGCTTATGGGATTTACTTCTAAAGAAAACTCCCATTACAAAGTACAAAAATGTAAAATTTGACCTAGCCCAAGATTAACAACTAAAATAACTAATGATGGCAACAGAAATCCTGAATGTTGTCGCTCTCTACACAGTCCTAGTCCGTTCCACAACTGAAATTCAGAAAAAAATAAATATAAGCCCCTGTGACATACACACCAAAAGGAAAATCAAACGGCAAATCACTCATGATTTATAAAACCCTACGTAGAGAAGTCAGTTCATTGGAAAATTATTCGGATTAAATCACCACGTCCCATTTTTCGCTTACGCACATATCTACTGAAAATCATTTTACTATAGTTTTCCGGGAGGTAATTTCATGTACATTCTATTAGCCTGCATTTCATGACTCCAAATTCACCTCCCCTTCAAGTGCCACAATCTTAAATGCCTTGTGGTGAACAGACCTTACTAAAAGTAAATCAAAATTTTGGGATAAAGGAAAGACATCAGTAATGAGATGGGAGAACATGAAACAGTTTTGAGATAAATGTACAATATATGTGTGACTATGTATAACACATACATAGTACATACAGCCTGGGTGGGGGAGATAATTAGGCATAAACAGTACACATTTGTTTCAATTCCTATGAAAAATTTATATTAACTTGACTACATCAATTATTAAGTATTTGGTTTTAGTATTTCAAATTTGTAATTATTCACTAATTATCATCTTTATTCGATACCTGTTACATTCTTACTACGGAGTACTATACCTTTTACATAATATATTTTACATCATTTAACCCTCACACAACCTTTAGAAGTAGATACTATTGTTACTCCAATTTACAGAGTAGAAAAATAAAGCACAGGGAGTTTTAGTGATTTGCTTAAAGTCACACAGCCAATAATTGGCAGAGCCTGATGTGAACCCAAGTGTTTATGTGCTGATACAGAGTGGGAAAAATAGGTTTACAGTTGTGAGTATGTAAAACATAGAGTTCATTCTTATATTATTATTTATCAATTATTGTATCATTTTCCATATGAATAACTGTAAGCCTACTTTTTTCCCACCCTGTGTGGCCATCATTATGCTAGACTGTCACTTGGAAGTACTGTAATGCACAGTTCCTGCCCACGGTTACTTCCTCCTGGGGGACAAGAAGTATGGCTTGGGTAAAATCATTAGAGTTATATTTATGATTTGAGATAGAATGGAGGTCTCTACAAGCCTGATAATAACCCCCATGATCAAATACAGTACTGTCAAGCCTATTTGTTGTAAAATTCCACCCCTAATCATTTTTTAATAAGAAAGAAAATGCAGAAGTGTTTTTTATAGGAGTCCAATATGGCAATTGGAGGGCAGCCATGACAGCGGTTAAAACGTCCGACATTAGTGTCTTAGCCTTGGTGAGAACGTTAGCCTGGCTTAGTTGATCAGATTAGCTCACAGTCACCTTGGAAAACAGAGGGAGAGCAGAGACCTAAGGAGATGCATGGTCAGAGGTAGAAAAAGGTAGAACACGAAGCCCTGCAAGGATGGGCAGCACATAGTATGTTCCTTACAGAGCACAGATCAAGCCGCAGAATTGAGGTTTCCATCAAAAGTGAAGGTGTGCCCTGGCTGGTGGGGCTCAGTGGGTTGAGTGCTGGCCTGCGAACTGAAAGGTCACCAGTTCAATTCCCAGTCACGGTACATGCCTGGGTTGCGGGTAGGGTCCCCATTTGGGGGCATGCGAGAGGCAACCATGTATTATCTCACACATTGATGCTTCTCTCCTCTTACTCCTTCCTTTCTCCTCTCTCTAAAAAAGTAAACACATAAAACCTTTTTTAAAAAATATTGTACTCCCTTGATGGCCTTCTTTGCAAAGATTTTCCTGCCCTAGCTGGTGAGGCTCAGTGGGTTGAGCGCTGGCCTGAGAACCAAAGCGTCGCTAGTTTGATTCCCAGTCAGGGCACATGCCTGGGTTGTGGGCCAGGTCCCCAGCAGGGGGCGAATGAGATGCAACCACACATTGATGTTTCTCTCCCTCTCTTTTACCCCCACTTACCCTCTCTAAAAATAAATAAATAAATAAATAAAATCTTTAAAAAGCAAAAAGAAAAAAAAAAGCTTTTCCTTGTTCAAGTGGATTAAATTGCCCAGAACTTTGACCTCCGGTGATTCTGGGTAGGGACTGTAGTGAGGGAAACAATAAAATTATGAGACCAGTCGAAACACTGAGAGTGAAAGTAAAAGCAAAGATGGAATCAAGATAAAGAGTTCTGGTTTACCATTTTGTGCCTTGGGAAAGCTCCAAACAGGCCAAGTCCAAGGCTGAAGTATAAATCAATAAAAAAGTAAGTTGGGATCACTGCATAAATTGGATGATGTCAACAGTTAAAAATGACTTTGAAAGAGACAAAGGCAAAAGGTAGAGGAAGAAGAAAGGGTGAAAAAAACAATATATCCACTGTTAATGTATCTTCCCTGACTTGAATATTTCAAGAAAATCACAACTATATGGACCCCTTAGGGAATGTGTTAGTATGTATAATAATAGAGTTTTTCAGATAATGGAAAGATAAATAAGCAAATAGGTTGGATTTGAGTGTAACCTAAGAAGAGATAGGTTCTGCATGAGGGCATCAAAGAATTTCCTGCAAATAAAACTCCATGTGTTTTTGGTAGGTTCGGTGATATAACTCACAGTTTCTCAAAATTCTATAGGTATAATTACACGTTGTTTTTATTTGCTTGGTGGGTAACACCCCCAAACTTCCTATGGATTGGAGCGATGTCATAGTGCTAGGTTTTGAACACTACTCACTGTTCCTTTGATCATCATTCTTTGATGCCAACTCAGAAGCTGAATTTGTCAAACCATATTGAGAAAAAAATGGCTCTGTTGTAGTCTGTTCATTTCCATAACAGTGCAGTGGGTTAAGACTTAGCTCTAAAAATCAAACCTAGATTCAAATCCTTGCCCCACCACATACTATATGATCTTGAGCAAGTAACAAATTCTGTCCTTCAGCTTCCTCATTTGTAGAGTGGTATTAATAATTGTCCCAGCCATATGTGGCTGTGTGAGAATTAAATGATTTTTGACACAAAATAATTGGAACAATCCCTGGAACATAGTAAATGTTCATCATGAGTACATAATTATTACTAATTAAAAGTTTTTTTATTATATAAAATATTGAGAGACGATTTTATGAAATTTTGTACAAACTAACTGAAAAAATCAGTAATAAATAATACTTACTAAATACATAGACCTAAACTGAAGGCATTTTAAGTAAAAGAAGACAAACTATGAACTATGTAAAATCCTTTGGTCCAAATATCTTTAATAACACAAATATTCATGTTCTCTTACCAGCAGACAGAAACACACTAAAACTTTATCACTTGGTAACAATCCTTAACATCCATGGAACCTGACAGCAGCAAGAATATTTATTTATCTATTTATTTCTTTCTCATCTGTCATTACCTTTTTGTTCATCTTATAGATTATATCCATCAAATCTATAAAATGGAAGAAGCCAAAAGCCAAAGTTTGGAAGAAGACTTTGAAGGACAGGCCACACATACAGGTAAACAAAGCTATAGGAAGAAAACTAATTATTAAACTAAAATTAAATCTGGAGATCTCTACTCTTCTTATCGCCACTATTCAGTATGAAATATTTTATAGCTTTGAGTGGTCTGATGAAATAATCTAAAAATAATTGAGTGGGTAAATTAATTTGAAATCAAATACTTTAAAAACAGTTTTATTTAGATGTCAAGTAATGAGAAATTTAATTAAAAACACTAATTATGGAGACTTTCTTGCTTCCAACTATCACAAGACCTTTCTATATATACTAACATTAAGCCACTATCCTCTCTCCTAATTTCCCACACTGTAAACTTCCTGTGCAATTGTAAGCAACAGTATTAGAATTATATAAATAACAGTTATTAGGAAATATGTAGAGAAAGAAAAATACATCCACATACATAGTACAATGTTAAAGGTATGGATATGGCTATGCTTCAGTGAAGAATATGTAAAGTTACATATTTTTAAGAATTTAGACCTTCATCCAAGCACTTATTATTTATCAGGGCAACTAAACATCAGCATTCCAGTTGGGTCATCCTTGATTTAAATCTGTGAATCCTATCCTTTCTATATTTGTAAAAGATTCTTAGAATCCTAAAAGGAATTGGATGGTTATGTAAAAATTTTTTAAAAGCCATTTTAGTTTTTCTTAATTGAGGTAAGTCCTCTCTCTAACTGTGTGTGTGTGTGCGCGCGCGCGCGCACACACAATTGTTCTTGTTCTTTCTGGATCTTGACAATATTTTAATTTGTTTCCCTAACAATCCTAGTTTCCTTTGTTACTGGTGTTATGCCAATTTTAGTTTATTGCTGAAACTGAACTAAACTAGTTTAGTTTAGTTATAAGCTTCTGTCTTATGTAACAAGTGATATTTTTCTAAATTTCTAGTTTCTTCTCCACACTCCAATTTTAAGTATCATTACCCCCAAAATTTGAGAATAATTCAAAGTCCATAACTTGTATTTTCATTAATGGAGATGTTTCAGGAAGATTCTTAGCCAAAACACATTTAACAAGATTAATGTGGGAAAATGTTTTTGTTTTCTGACATATGGCAGTCAGAAATTTCTAGCCCAGACAAGATGCTTGTTTATGATACAGAACATGACAAGTCTATCCCTATCGTGATACTTATACAAATTTCAGTTGTATAAATTCCTTTTGAAAATAGAAAGAGAAACAATTTGTTTTTTATTGTATTCCAGGACCCAAAGGAGTAATCAATGATTGGAGAAAGTTTAAATTAGAGAGTGAAGATAGTGACTCAGTCCCACCGAGCAAGAAGGAGATTCTCAGACAGATGTCTTCTCCTCAGAGCAGGGACGACAAAGACTCAAGAGATAGATTTGGCAGAAAGGTAAACTAAAGAAAAATTAACAATAAATAATTTACAAAGTGTAAACACGAATCACATTTTTTATAGCATCTTTTTAATCTCACTTCTTTACTAATTATATAATGTGTACGTCTATGTGCATAGAGATGCATTAAAAGATGATCTCTATATTAATGGAGATTATCCCAGAGTATCAGAATGGTAAAACTACTTTTGTCCTTTAGCTTTTAGGTCATTTCTGAGTCTTTATAATTAGCATGATTACATTATATAACAATAAAAATATTAATAAAAGAAACCATGAAGTGATTTTCACTGTGGGGAAAAAATCACTTTAGTGGATTTTCCCAAAACCAGTATATATGAGTTGTTGTAATCTGATTCTCAACAGACAGACAGTGCTTCAGAAATAGACTTGCTTCTATGCTTCAGGCCATTGTGGACATTTTCAAGACTAAGATCTTATTTTCAGGTTCGGTTCCTTCACTAAGTCATTATGTGACGTGGATGAGACAATTAAATTTTTCTCATCTTAGCAATTGTAACAACACCTCCTCCACTTGCTTTAAAGGGGTGTGAAGAGAAAATAAATGTAAAAGTTTTTGAAACTTGTAAAATGCTACACAAACATGAGACATTTTAAGTATTAAAAATGTACTAATGTTAAGCTTTAGACATATATCTAAGTGCCTGCATATCTATGTGCCGGAATATGTGAATAGAACAAGTTCTTATAAAAAAAAGCTCAAACACACAAGTCAATATTTGTGTAGCTTAGCCTATTAAATTAACAGAACTATACTAGCAACTTAAAAATTATACAAAGCATTTAACAATTTTTAAGGTTAAAACAAATTAAATTGGGACAATAATCCTAAAGCAGAAAAAAATACCATAAGAAAAAGGAGGGCATTAGAAAAACAAATATAAGAGAAACCGGAGAAGGACATATGACAGCATCAGATACTTTTACTTAACCTGAATCTCAGTATCTTTTGTAAAATTCTGTAATAATACCTACCCTTAATTCTACCTTAATTCTACTTAAAGTGAGAATTAAGTAAAATAATCTATATCAAGTGCCTGAAACAAATTTTTCATAAATACCAGTGTCTTGCCTTCTCAATGATCTACTTTCAAATATTGACAGCAAGTTGCTGTTCCAGAGGCTACTTGACAATATGGCTGATTGATCCCACTTGGAAACTGACCACCTTCCTTGGTTCTGGGCTGCTCCCCATCACTCGATCACACTGTGTCTCATTATTGCTCTTTTGCTCTTTTTTCTCCCTCTTTCTCTCTCTCTTTCTCTCCTTTTTTAGTGTGTATGTTGGGTGGTTTTAATATTCTAATGAACAAGCTGATAATAATGTAGCTCTTAAGAAAGGTTCTGCAATAATTTATATTCCACCTGCAGTAATAAGTAGCTGTCTTGGAAGTAGAAAGTTAGGCCATGTCTCTCTTTTGCCCGAGACAGTGGGTGAGAATTGCCTGGAGGGCTTGAGTAGATGGCTCACTCAGCCTCACCCTTACAGGTTGTGATTTGATAGATCTGGCCTTGTGCCCAAAATTTACATTTCCCAGAACGTCTCAGGTGATGCTGATGTTGCTGGTACAGCATAAATCTCATGGCTAATCTGATGAACTCTAAATAGTAGTAAAAACTGTCTTGGCTGAATCCTACTCAACATATCCCAAAAATCAGTAGGTGAGAAGATAAAACCTTTTTAACAGCTTTTGTGGAGGAGACGCTAATGTCCAAAGGCCTTTGCTGAGAATACATTTAAATTGTGCATGTATGTTTGTGTGGGTGTTTATGAAAGTTGCTTCGTAAGTGATTTGCAGAGTAGACCTTGCTGGGCTTTTTTTTTCCCACCCACAGTGATCGGTAGGTAGTTAAGTGACACATTTCTGACTGAGATTGTGATCATCTCATGGCTCAACCATATTCGGCACTGTTTCTGCCTGCATTTGTATCACTAAATAATCTCTGAGCCCTATTATGTGCCAACACTATAGCAGATACTGAAGAGTAGTGAATGAGACAGATAAAATTCCTGCTCCCATGGAACATGTCAGTTAAAAAAAACCATTATACAATGAAATAAATTTATAATCACAGTATCAGGTAATGTTTATCGGTATGAGGAAACACTAAAATCATGTCAGGAATAAAAGCTTGGGGCAGGGACTCTTTTAGGTAATCAAAGAAGGTGACATTTGAACCAAAGTTTGAAGAAGGTAAAGAGAAGGCCACATTGAGGGGGGAGGACAGCAAATGAAGCTCTTTGAGTCGAGGAGGGGTTTGGTGTGTCTAAAAAATTAAATCTCTGGCTGAATGATCTCTATCATCCTTTCATTTATTTGCAGATGAGCATTCAAGAATACGAGCTAATCCACCAAGACATAGAAGATGAAAACTGCCTTCGTAAATACCGTAGACAGTGTATGCAGGATATGCACCAGAAGCTGAGTTTTGGGCCTAGATATGGGTTTGTGTATGAGCTGGAAACTGGGGAGCAATTCCTGGAAACCATTGAAAAGGAGCAGAAAATCACCACAATCGTTGTTCACATCTATGAAGACGGCATTAAGGGCTGTGATGCTCTAAACAGTAGCCTCGCATGCCTTGCAGCCGAATACCCTATGGTCAAGTTTTGTAAAATAAAAGCTTCTAATACAGGTGCTGGCGACCGCTTTTCCACAGATGTGCTCCCCACACTGCTTGTCTACAAAGGCGGGGAGCTCATAAGCAATTTTATTAGTGTTGCTGACCAGTTTGCTGAAGAGTTTTTTGCTGGAGATGTGGAGTCTTTCCTAAATGAGTATGGCTTACTACCTGAAAGAGAGATACATGCCCTAGAGCAGGCCAACGTGGAAGAAGATACTGAATAAAGATCCAGTATGTCAGTATTTTAGGTCTCCTTTACGTGCTCAACATTGATTTGGTAGTATCCATGTTCCTTTAGAGAATATCAAATATGGACATGGCTATTCTCATGTAGAAACAAAACCAGATTGACGCTGAAGCTATATGATTAGCAGTTCAAAGTATTAGTTACTCAAATTTATATGAGGCTTTATGACAAAACATTGTAGTCTTCAGAAACATGTTAGTAAACAAAGAGAATATGGATAATATTGTGACAGTTTTCAAAAATCCCTTTCATGTTATGTGTTAGCTTTTCTACTTGTTTTTTCCTGTAGTGTTATTATTTGGACTTTTCAAAATATATCATTAATTATCATTTTGCTTACATAATAGGGATAAAGTCTCGTGAGGAAACACTCTATTTGAAATCTATTTTTCCAAAGAAAGAATAAAATTTAGTAATAATAACTATCATTTATTGATTGCCAAATATGTGCTAGTAATTTATACATATGGTCTCTAATTCTTAAATACAATCATGCAAGAAGATAATATTACTCTCATTTTATAAATGACGAAACTGAAATTCAGAGAACTGAAGTTTTAATTCCCTTGAAAATATTTGAAAACCTCTGCTTCTCCACAAACACATGAAAATACAAACTAAAGCTTGAAAAATATTTTGAAATATGTGAATCGGCAGAAGAGCATGATAAAAGAAATGTCTAGGTGTCTGGATCAGAGTGGAAAATAAAGGTGAGTGAGGGCTAAAGCCCTATGGCCTGTGAATGAAGAACACATGGTGTTGGATAAATGACCAAAAATGGGCGCCCTGGGAGAAGCACACTTTGTACATCTTCTCCCAGCGGACCAACGTGGAAACCAGACATTAGTCACAAGTTCCAGTCTCCACTCTATATCACTGTTGTACAGCTTCTCACTCTCTCTTAGTCATTTGATACACCTCTCCCCAGTCTAAACACTTTACTTTGCCCACACTTCATCGAGAAAAGAGATGTTATCAGATGAGTCCTACCTCATATCTCCATCACCAAACTAAAACGTGTGCCTACCTGTAAACACTGTTCCCACTCCCGCTGCAATGGAAGTGTTCACGTAGCTGTCTAAGGCCAACAGAGTAAATTGGGCTTTGGATCCTATCAGCCACACAGTAATGTTTCTCCTGCAATTAAATTATTTCCCTTCTCTCTGCATCATCTATTGCTTTGTTGTATCATTCATATTGGCTTATAAATGACTTTTTAATTACTGGCTCTTTAAAAGATGCCCACGTATAATTTAAAATTTCCAGCTATCCCTCACTTCTCTGCTTTTCTTTGCAATCATGTCTCTTGAAAGAAGTATCTAAAGTCACTGTCTTTATTTCTCATTTCCAATGATTTCACCCCACTTCCATCTGGCCTTATTATTGGTCAGTCCCTAACATACAGTTGCTGCAATAGGTGCTGTTTCTGCACATGAATATAAAATTCCATCTTCTATCCCTCTTTCTTAATTGGGAAAGGTATTTTAAATACTCTATGGCCTATTTGTAAGTTGATGAATACCAGACACAAGGTGGAAAAGTTCTAGGAGGGAGGCATGTGGGATAATTATGTATAAAATAAGGAGCTTGAGGAAAAAACACAAAAGATGTTTTCTCCAATCAAATAGTTGCTAACAAATTTGTTAATCCCTTACAGAGTCCTCTGTTAGGGAATTGCTGGGAAAAGGAAAAGAAAAAAAACAGGAGCCTTATATGAGATATTTATAGTTTAAAAACTCCTTAGTACAACAATTCTTTAGGTTGACATTAATTCCTTGGACTGGTAGTAAATACTTAACAAGATGGTGGCAAGGCAGAGAAGAAGGACAGCCAAATGGGGATCTCAAAAGAAAACAATATTTTAAGACTAAAACATAAGATCTTTTCAATCACTAGTCCTAGGTCAGAGGTAGAAAGTCAGAGCCACTAAACAGTGAACGAAGGCTCTCCTCTATGGACAAAAAGAATAAAAATGAGCACTTTGAAAGATCCCTGTTGAAGGAAAGCTTTACTCTCCTAAGGAATAACCCCCAGTGCATTAATTTAAAATAGAGAGCTAGCAAGCTTAAGCAGGACTAACCCAGAAATGTATTTAACCCGTAATTGCCAAAACAAAAGTAACTAGGTGGCACCTTTGTAGGGAATAAGTGATGATAGCAACCATTCTCAAAATAAGTACTTGGTGACTAATGGATGCCAGAGTGACGCTTTGATGGTAACACTCCTCAGCAAGAGTCGGACAAAAGGCAGGATTGGGCGGGAATATGTGAAATCCACTGCTGCAGTCATCCTGGGTTACGAGCTGTCCTCATGTAAACACTCTGCTCTTATATGAGGCAGGAGGAGAGGAAGAGTTCATTTTTGTCTCAGCAAAAGAATGACATCTTAAACATAAAGGTTGATAATGTCATAACATGTCTCATGACAAATAATACTGGAATAGACTTGAAAGAAAAGCGTGGAGTGTTAGTTGTAAAATAATATGAAAATAATAGAAAAATCTGTAGGGAATTACAAAATTATCTTGGAAAGTGCAAAGCTCATTCATTCGTTCACAAAACATTGTGAGTTGCAATGTGCCACGCATCTTCAACCTTAGGGAACTCAAGGTAAAGAACACAGACATTTAAACAAGCAATAGATGTTAAATGCCCCGATGTTTGCATCTGTATATCAGCGGTGGTAACTAACATCTTGAGCACAGTGACAGACTTCTTAGGTTTGAATTCATTCACTAATTTTGCGATCTCAGGCACTGTTAGGTAACTTCTCTGTACCTGTTTCCTCATCTGTAAAATAATAATAATAATTGCTCATCTTCACTGGGTTGTTATGGGAAAAAAAAAGTTAACTATTTAGAACAGTGCCTGTCACATAATTAGTCTTACTCAAATACTATGATTATTATTACTAATAGATTTATATGAAGCAAAATGATGCATGGAGTACATAGATATAGGATCTTAAAGGTACAATTATGTAAATAAAGGTAATTTAAGAAGTTGGGATGCAACTCATTTATCCAAAACACAATACTCACATTCCTTTATATAGGACCTTATTAAAATTCTATATGTTTGAGAGATCCTAAAAACCTGTCATTTCAAACTGCCTGCAATAAATAGAAATTAAATTAGTTCTGAAAACAGAAGTGCAAAATAAATAGTAACATACAATTAAGAAATGTATAGAATTTTGAGGAGTTTAATACTGAATTTCTTGCAGAACACAATTATGATCACATAATTGGTTGTTAAAATATATCTAGTAAACTATGATGATAAAAATTTGATTTGTTTTCTTTGTTCTCTTCAAATATTCTACAAAAGTTTGAGTGTTTAATATACACAAGGAGTTATATTAGATAATGGGGGGGCTGATAAAAAATGGGTAAGACATAGTCATTCCTTCTTCTCAAGGGATTTACAATCCAGGAAGGGAACATGCACATTCTTGAAATTAAAAGAAATGGGGACTTGTTTTTGCTTATTTATTACTGTTTGAGGGCTTATACTCTGGAACCTAGTTGATAATGGATTTCAGGAAAGAAATTGTTATCCTCTTGTGCCTCTCTGATTAATAAACATGTTTAGTTCTTACTTTTGCTACCAAATCCCTGTTTGAAATCTTCCATTTTAATGTACCGTTCTTTAACACTAGCCATCTACCCTTCAGCTCTCTCAATCCTTTATTATCAATACACATTCTTTAAGTCCTGCAATTTCTCCACCTTCCCTTTTTAACACTTTCTCCATTTTCACAGTTTCTGTCTTTCCTGTGCAGCCTAGACACTGGGGGGAGGACATCAATCACTCTCCTGCCAGCACAGTCAGTATTTTTGTCACCTTATTCTTCCACAGCACTTCTCTTTTAAACTTCCAAGTTTCTGAACATTTCAACTAGAGTATGTAGCTTGTTCAGAAAACAACTCCCTCTTTCAGTTTCCCCGCCTCTGTTTCAAACCTTTATTACTCCCCTCAGCTTTCCTGTCCCAAATCCCTCCCCTCTGAACAAAGGGCCTTGCTTTCAACATCACAGGAAAAACTGAGCCCACACAGCATGAAGTTTCCTATTTACCCCACACGTATTAACACATTAATTCTTTATTTTATTGTTCTCAAAGATGTCTCTTTGTACAGGGCTAATTCTGTCATCTGTGCTTTTAATTAGATTATAGCACATTCAAATTTCACACGTTTTTTGCTTGTATCATATAATTTTATCTTTTTATTCTGCATCAGCTTCTTATTCACAAGCTAAAAACAGGTCTCTGGTTCTTCAGAATTCTTACTAGCTATGATGTTCTCTAGCTTTCCCTTTCCCTTATTGACATACTACTTTTTTAAATCCATGTCCTTAATCTTTTCTTCCTTTTTCCCATTTATTTCTTCACTCACCTTCCTCAACCAGTCCAACGCAAGTGATTCTGATAAAAACCAACAATGGCTATGTCAGGTAGGTTCTTGGCAAGGAGCAGAGTGCAAACAGAAAAGGGGTGATTGAAGGGAGTTTAATAAAGAGGCTGTTTATAAGGGTGTAGGCAGGAAACCAAAAAGAGATGGGGAAGACCACAAGGCTAGCAGTATGTGAAAAGGACTGCTACCCAACAGGCCTTGAGGGGCAAGACCAGTGAGACATGTAGCTACTGGAGACGAGTTGACCAATGGGGGCTCTAGGTTTTTGGAGACAACACTATCCCTGCCAATTTGGGGCCCAGCAGGGAGAGAGATAGGAGAATAAATAACAGGAGCTCTCTCTCCTTCTTGTCTCTTCTGTCTCTTCATGTCTCCTACAGCCCAAAACCAACTGGACCACATCATGGGAATACCAGAAGGAGAAGAGAATGAGCAAGGGATCAAGAACCTATTTGAAGAAATAATGCTCCAAAACTTCAATGATATGGTAAAGAAAAAAGACACACAAGTCCTGGAAGCTCAGAGAATCCCAAACAAATTGGACCCAAAGAGTCCTACATCA